ATTCTTATATATATATATATATATAAGAATATGGTGTTTTGGCAAAAATTACACATTAAATAATAGAATTTACTTTCAAATAAGGACCATTTTTGTTTGAAGGTTTTCAAAACTGGGGTTTCATAGATTTTGGCTTTTGCCTGTTGAGGTGAAAGAAGTAGAATTTAAACTGAGGTCTTTAAAGTAATGGAACAAAGGGGGTAGATGGTTTATGGATTTGGCATTCTTTGCATGATCATATAGATTCAGAAAGGAAACTTTTAACAGGATCTGAGGAGTTGAAAAGGATTAAAAATGCTCTAGGTCCATTGGACATAACTTTTGCCAATCTATGTTTTCTGTCTTAGTTTCTGTGATACTGTTATCAATGGATTCTGCTCCACAAATGATTAATATTAATCATCTTCATGTATTCTGAAGAACTTTGGCCAGCTTCCCTGCCTTTTCTGCTTTGCCGGGTGTGGTTTTCAGAGTGGAGTGATTACTGTGGTTGCTCCTGACGGACACCTGTAGGATGACTGAGCAAGAAGAAACCCAGAGCCAGGGTGACTGAAGTCATCAACAAAAAAAGAGCAAGGGTTGATACAACCAACATGTGGACATTTTATCTTAAGAATTTATTCAACACTAAAAAAATTTCAATCCACGGTTGTAATTTTTTTTACTTCTAGAAGTGGCCAAAGCCCTTCAGTAACAGCAGGTTCCTAGACAAGGGGTGAGATCCTTACATCACTTTTCAGTTCAGTCTTTGTGCTCTGTTGACACCACTCATACCAACAGCTCAGAGGGTGTGTGTAGAGTCCTGTCTATGCAGGCTGAGCTTCCCATAGACATTATGCAGTAGGGATTTAGTCTGGGCTTCATAAAAACTGATAGTAGAATTACTTGAATCAACATTTGTGATTGTTTTCAGGGCTCAGTAATGTCTTATATCTTTCTCTCTGACCGGGGGGTGGGGAATGTAAGGTTTTATAGGTGTGAGCTATAAAGCTATATAAACTAAATTCTATGCATTTAGCTTGTCCAAAGGAATAAAGTAAGGACACACAAGAAAAATTAATTTGTGTAGACCTCACCTAACTTTGCTTCAGGTGATGTTTAAACTGTGTAATGGTTGAATCATGTTAACCCTGAGTTCTCATCTTGCTTTTGGTAAAATTCAATTCAAGCCATGTAAACAAAATTTGTTTTTCTAAGTTGTTTTCACTAGGTGATTTGTGCTTATCTGTCAGGAGTTACAAAAAAAGAATGATAAAAATTGTTTCTCTGCTCGTCTGTCTGCACTCGGTTATATATCCCAGTGCTTCACACGTCTCTGTTTGCCAGTGGGACTGCGTCTGCAGCTTTTCAGTAAAAGTGTGGTAGGGGATTGTTGGTCCCAAAGCTGGACAAAAACACAGGTATACCGATACCTTCTTCTGAGAACATAGTGGTGAATAAACACCTGCTCTGCATGTAGGAGCTTCCATCCAGAGAAGTCTGAACTACGCAGGGGACCTGAGGACACTTCTCCAGTGGCCTGCAACAGAATCAGCTTTTTTTCCTGGTTAGAAAAACTGTTGGTGAAATCTGCTCAGTGATAAGAAGGAAGGAACTGTTGATAGGTGCAACATGGGTGAATCTTAAAATCATTCTTCTGAGTGCAAGAAGCCATATGAAAAAAAAAAGTACATGATATATGATTCCATTGTTATAAAATTCTAGGAAAGGCAAACTATTTTGTAGGGACAGAAAGGAGATCTTCAGTTGCCTGGGGACATGTGGGGTGAAGACAAGAGGTAAGGGGCAACAGGCAGAGGGGTAGGATTACAAAAGGGCACTAGGAAACTTTTGGGGGTGATGCACATGTTCATTATATTGATCGTGGTGACAGTTTCATAGATGTAGACATTGTCAACATATGTCAAATTGTGCACTATATATATGTGCAGTGTAACATTTGTCTATTATACTATGTGTATAGCAAGAGCGAGGAATATTGTGTTACTGGTGTAACAGAAATCATTTGTCACTTGCTGTAGACATCAGGTAGATAGGAAAATAAAGGCAACTAAAACAAAACATAAAAGAAAAGCCTACTTTGCCCTTTGTTGTCTGGGGCATAGGGAAGGTCCCCATGTTTCATAATTCTGTCCCCATCTGCTTTTTGATTCTTGAAATATCTTTTATTGATGGGCAGGGAATTATATTTTAATTGTCAAGAGCGGGAGTTTTGAAGTTGGGAAGGCCTAGATTTGGCCTAGTCATCTGCTAGCTGTGTGCCTTTGGGCAGACACTTGACCTTTCCGATAGTTTGTTTTCCCTACATGTGAAGCGGGATGACAGAGGCATAGTAAGTCCTCAATAAATGGAAGCAGTTTTTGTTATTGCTTTTATTCATTTCACATTCTGATTTCCACAAGGTTTAAAATACAGATAGTCTTGAGTGAGAAAAGACAGTGTTTTCAGTTCATAGGAGGTCATGTTACTGTGGAGAAATGGAATCAGAAACGTTGCTTAGAGAAGAGAAAGATCATTACACGAAGGGAAGGGAGCCTAGGCAGGAGACCATAGATGATTTGCACGATGCCCACTTTTCTGTTTTCCTCATGGTGGCCATTTAGCTACCAGATGACCTTCTCATCTGGTTTTTCTGGTGTAGTGACTTCTGCTCTTTGCAGGGTTTAATTCTTTAGTCTTTTCTTTTGTTAATTAATAATGTCATTGTTTATGAGTGCCATGTTCATGATTGCTTATTGAAAAATTTATTCTGGCATTTAGCCTGTACTTGTTTGTTTAGATGTATGAATATTTGTACTCCTCTGTAGGAATAAATGTTTTGACTTTCTAGATGTTTTGCTTAAATTTAGCTGAGAGATCTTATTTAACTTTTTATTAGTTCTTATAAACTTAATTAAAAAAATTAATATATATACTTATGGAAATAAAAGTTGATTAGTTTATCCAAAATTGGTCATACTGTTGATAAGTAAGTTTTCAGGATATATAGTAAAACGTTTTTTTCTTTACCTCTGAAAAGATATCATTTTCACTTATAGAACTAGACGAATTACCTGCTTTCCCCTGATCTTGACCTAATTTTTTTCCCTCTGCCAGGTGTTTGCAGGGATTTGACAAGTGATTGATTTGGTTTTAGAGGGTCCTGGAACTGCACAAAGTGTTTTTCATATTGGAAAAGACATGCCCAGTTTTTCACAAGTTTTAAGATTTATTGCCTCCCCCTAACATGCTGCAAATGAGTTTGTTTCCTATTTATTTTACTCAGAATGTAGTAATTGTTGTCATTAGCTGAAGGGCAGGCTTGATCATAAGGAAGGATAGACTGCCTTTTAACACTATCTGTTTTTATTTGGCATCTTTGCAGGACTGGACATTAGGTGGGTAGACTGCTACTTCCCTTTTACTCATCCTTCCTTCGAGATGGAGATCAACTTCCACGGAGAATGGCTAGAAGTTCTTGGCTGTGGGGTGATGGAACAGCAACTAGTAAATTCAGGTAGAAAAGAATCCAACATTTTTTTGTAGGCTCTCTTGAAAAAGACTCTCTCTCCTTTCACTTCATTTGCATACTTATTTTCATATGCATTTATATGCCCCTGTAGGGGTAGCCTCACAATCTCTGTCTCCTCCTGTTGCCCCCGTACTTGTCCCTTAACGCTCCATACTTAACTCTGGAAGAACTTCATTTCTCACATTTTGCACAGACTTTTTGTTTCTGGAGATCTTCCTTGTTAGCACTTAAGTATTGGATTTGTACTTCATAATTTCGTATTTGTTGATATGTTGCTTTGCAGTTGCCTCTAAGCATTTGATGCATACCACATGAGTCCAGTTTGCCTTCCAAACTGTTTAAGAACAAGGCCACTATATAATACTTTTTTGTTCTTATTTCATTTATAAGTAAGTTATATCTGTGGATACAGCTCTTCTCTGCAGGACCATTGCTTAATAAAAATTATTATTTCTAAACTTAATTTCAGAGCTGTTTTTTTTAAATCACTATATGAACGTAATTAAAAAATATTTTTTCAGAGTATAAATCCTCCATGAGAAGTCGGTGGGATTGGGCATTTGAGCAGGAACTCTGTGTAAGCAGTTAAGTGGAGGGGAACTGATGAAGATTGCACTCTGCCCCTCTCCCCTTCCCGTAGTAGGGCATTTACTCTGTGGCCTTGGAGGGCAGTGGCTCTGGTTCAGGTTTGGTCACAGGGCCTCGGGCAGCAGAATGGAGAAGAGCAGGCCCTCTTGGTGGCTAAGAAATGTAGAGAGACCATGGGTAAGGTCATGGGGTTAGAGAATAAGGATGGTGTGAGACAGAAGAGATGAGGTGGCAGTCAAGTGCAAGATTTGTGGTAATCCGGCTTGGGAGACTGGAGGCCTAGCCTTCCCTTCTTACTCCCAGGTAACCTTTGTCTGCAGGGGCCTGGACTCAGCTCACAGATTCCTCTCCTTTCTGCCAAGGAAGGCTTGGGGGAAAGCCCAGAACAGTGCCAAATGCTTCTTGGATAGTTTTCAATAATTTGAAGAGCTGACCTAGAGAAGGACAGAGAGGTCGCATGTTAAGGGCTATGTATAAAAGTTGTGAGGTTTGGGCCTGGGTGTCTGTCTGTCTTAGGTTTTCTGTCAGTTGACAGCTGTGTGTCTTCAGGCAAGTTGCTTAAACCCCTGTGAGTCTTAGTTTTCTCATAATTAAAATGGGCACAATGATACCTTGCTCAAAGTTTCATTATGAGCATTCATCAAGGTGATGTATGTAACGTGCTTATTAGCACTGGGTCTGGCATGCTGACTAAAATTAATTGCTGATTTTGTTTTTAAATTGTTTTTCAAATGGTTAGAGCCATTTATCAACAGAGCCCCCTTTAAAAGGAAATATTTGAACAGAGGCTGTCCTGTACATCACAGAAATGATTTCTCATTAATTGGAATTAGATTACCTCTTTGATCTTAGTCACTTCAGTATCCATGATTCTAGTCTGAGTGATTTTATTTTTTTTTATTTTTTTATTTTTTTTAAATGTTTTTTTATTTTTGAGACAGAGAGAGACAGAGCATGAACGGGGGAGGGGCAGAGAGAGAGGGAGACACAGAATCCGAAGCAGGCTCCAGGCTCTGAGCTGTCAGCACAGAGCCCGACGCGGGGCTCGAACTCGCGGACCGTGAGATCACGACCTGAGCCGAAGTCGGACGCTTAACCGACTGAGCCACCCAGGCGCCCCTAGTCTGAGTGATTTTAGAGGGAAAAAGGCAATTAACCAATAGTAAGAGACACCGGAAAATCAGCCTGATACATATATATCCATCTTAGTAGAAAACACAAAAAATTGGAAGCAAATATGTAAGATTTAATCTCTTCTTGAGTAGGAGCTAACTTCAAATACTTCTGGGATGTTTTTGTTTTTTTTCTTAGAAGATTTGAAGGAATCCCAGGCTTCATCCCAGAAACATGTGTTATCAAGGGCCAGGACTGAGAAAGCCAGTCAGGGGATGGTCAGCTTAACATGTCAGTTGTTGCTGGGAATAGTGCTTCCTTGTATCTTTTCCAGTGTCCTTGATGGGTTTTTATGAGGTTTATTCACACAGTAATTGGCCAAATACAGTTATCTGAAACAGGTTTCCAAGTCATTATTGCACATTAATGGGACTGCTATTCCACAATTAGATCAGCCATGTCAAGTGTTCTTGAGGGAAGTGGCAAAGTGAAAGGAAAGAAAAAAAAAAAAAAAAAAAAAAAAACAACCCCAGAACATATGAGATGCAAATATATTTGAGAGGTTCACAGTTGTGGTAAGATGTGGTTTTAGTTGGTGGAAAATTGTGCAGATAAATTTTAAATGAAATATCTTGCGAGGGAGACTACTGAAAAGAAAGAAGAGATGATTTTGTAAAAGAAATTCTGTGTAGGCTGTGCTATTTGAACTTTAAGTTATTGTGACAAAGTTCTGCTCTGTGTTCTCAGACTGGGATGTGTTTTGACATCCGTAGTTAAAATCTTTAAACTGTGTGCCTGGCAATCATCAACCGCAGGCTTTATTTGTAAGAACAGCTAATTTTCTGTCTGCTGAGCTCCGTGGTCTAGAGAAAGGCTGACTGTGCATGCTCCAGCCCTCTAGTTCCATTTTGCCGTTCCTTCCATCTTCTCTCCTACATTTCCTTCCCTCCCTTCCACTCCCCTGCCTTTTAAAATAGAACTTCCAAGAAACACTAACATGTGGCTGTAGATCTCCTTCTTTAAGGGTCTCATAGCGGCACAGGTAAGTGCTAAAGTAACTGGACACCAAAGAAGCCGGAACTAGATGGTGAAATTAGCAGCCACACTTAAGCCCTTCCTGTGGGCCAGGATCTCACCTCATCTCACCAATGCTTCTGAGCCTTTCTTTCATTTAGCCTTGATAACAAGGCTCTCATGTAGATGCTGATATGATCCCATTGACAGAGCCTGAGGAAGGTACCATGCCACACTATCCAGATAGTAAATTGCATGATTATGAAGTGGCTAGAAATCCATTGCAAATAAATTATTCTGTCTCACCTAGAATGAAGAACAGAAACCAAATGAAACAAACAACAGCAAACAGAGCTCTCTTTGGCTGGTAGTTATTTGTTACCCCTAAAGAAGGTCTAGGCCATCATGTATGTTGTCTCCTATGATAGACTGCATTTAATTAAAAGCAGGGAATTAGATTGTTAATATGAGCAGTTTGTGAAAACGCTATTACACATTTAAGTTGACTATGGCATATATGTGGATTTTTTTCCCCTGGAGTAAGATAAGGCTCTTCCACATAGCTTATAGAATTTTACTTTATTTCTTCTTTAATTTATAATGTTTTTGCCATTGCTTTCAGATTTCTTAGATTTACTAATCATGATGTGGGTGATGACAGTTGTTATGATGATTTTATTGGTTTTTCCTTGAGGAGATGTTTTGAGGACAGTACTGAGTCATGTCCCCGAATACCACACCCTCACTTCCCATTGGGCTGACTCAGGTTGCTAATGTCTTTTCAAGTAATATATGGAGCACAAACATCTAAAATCATCACCAGGGTGACTGTAGGCTGTGATTGTACCAGAAAGGAATTTACCATTTATTTGAGCCCCTTGAAATTTAGAAGATTGTAATGGAAAAAGCTCTATGGTGGAATATAACATTTAAAAGATGAAATCTCTTTCTTTACCTCTTTGTTAAATTTAAAAGTGTGATCTTTTGGGAAAACCTTGTAAATATATACATGAACAGTTTCCAGTTTTGTTTTTTTTTTAAGTTTATTTTTGACAGTGAGAGAGAGGGTGCGCATGAACGGGAGAGGGTGAGAGAGAGAGGGAGAGAGAGAATCCCAAGCAGGCTCTGCACTGTCAGCTCAGAGCCCAATGTAGGGCTGGAACTCATGAACAGTGAGATCATCTGAACTGATAACAAGAGTTGGATGCTTAACCGACTGAGCCACCCAGGCACCCAGTTTCCATTGTTAACATCATTCTTTGTTCTTGTTCATTTGTCAATTTCTCTTGAATTCCGTTTAAGGCTGTAGAAAAGTGAAGCATTGTTCTTGCCTTTGGGAATAGCATAGCATACACAGACATACAAATGATTACAATACCATGTGATAAGTATTTGTAACAGAGGTATCGTGGGCAGAATGGGGAGGAAGAAGAGATTGAAGAAGATTGTGCCAAGACCTTGTCCTGATTACATTCAGGATGGAATGCTAGAAGTATGGGTATTTGAAATGTATGTCCCAGAATAAGTTAGGTTTCTGTTTGCAAGGAGTTGTGTACTTTATGAACTTTGCTTGGATGGCCAGGTAGGATACCCAGTGCTTCTTTTCCTATGTGAATAAATACCTATTTCCAGTCTGTTACTGTCTTTAGTAGCCAGTCTCTGCAGCCTCTACATACACTTGTGACATTCAGTGTTATTAATCTCAGCTGGGGAACTTCTAGAGGCAACAACCAAGATATGTGCCTGTACTGGGCATAGTATTATATACAGGCAGACCTACCATTAATCTACTTAGCATCTTTTGTGTGTAAGGCACTGTGCTAGCCAAAGAGGAGGACATGGACACCATAAGATGTGACCTCTCCCTGTAAAATTTACCATGTAGTAGGGAAGATGAGATTATATAATTAGAGCATGGTAACATAAGTGCCACTCATGACATGGAGCTTTGGGAGGTGTGAAGAGGGGACTATGTTCATCAGTTAGATTAGTGGAAGCATCAGAGAGGAGGTGGTATTTGAATTGGTCCTGGGTTTAACCAGTGGTTAAGTGTGTGCCTGGTAACTGCCTGGAGAGCCTGGTAATCACCTGGAGAGCCTATGTAAAATGTTCATATCAGGGTATGTAGGTCTGGGATGAGGACTGAGATGTGCATTTAAAAAATTTTTTTAATGTTTATTTTTGAGAGAGAGAGAGAGAGAGAGCACAAGCAAGGGAGGGCAGGAAGAGAAGGAGACACAGAATCTGAAGCAGGATCCAGGCTCTGAGCT